ATAGAAATCAACACTTTTATTTAGCAAGGATGCTTTAAATTGATCAAAAGGGATGATAAAGACATTTATAATGTTACAAAATATTTCTATTTCAGATAAATGCGGTTCTTCTGGACTTTCTATTCATCAAAGAAACCTGAAAAAATTATACTCATCTGTTTTCAACATCATAATAATAATAAATGTTTTTTGAGCAGCAAATCAGAATATCAGAATGATTTCTGAAGGATCGTGTGACTGGAGTAATTATGCTAAATATTCAGCTTTGAAATCACAATAAATTACATTTTAAAATATATTCAAATAGAAAAGTTATTTTAAATAGCCTAGCAAAATATTTCAAAATTGTACTGTTTTGCTGTACTTTGGATCAAATAAATGTAGGCTTGGTGAACAGAAGAGACTTCTTTAAAAAACATGAACAATCTTACTGTTCAAAAACTTTTGACTAGTGTATAGTCAACTTTAATTTTTCTCTCATTTCTAGCTTTTAATTGGCTTAGAAATCAGATAACTGCTGGACAATAACCAATAATAATGATTTTTTTTATATACTACAAATACTTTTTTATCACATAAGGCAGAATAGTTTTTATACTGTAATAAATGCTATGTCAGTTAGCACTGCATTGTTCATATACTTTATTTATTACCTGGAGATGACTTGACAAACACAAATAAACCATATATTGTGTATTGTCGCAATCATACCTTTAATGTCTTCATGTTTCCAAACGTTTCAGTTTTTCTGTGAAAAAAAACTTCTCATACAGTGATAGCTGAACGCTTTTGTCCATTTCCTCATACGACTTTCTGCGTGAGAGCGCCCTCCAGCTTCGAGTGTGAATGAAACATACTCTGCACGGAGTGCAGAGCGCTCCGTGATGTTCATCTCGCCTTAATCTGGGTCTGAATAAAACATCAGATCATGCACAGACTATACTGTCTCTTTGAATTTAAAATCTATATTTATTCTCACCAGCTCTTGAAAACCTCTATGCGAACACACTTTAAGTGAATATTAAAAGTGGGGGGGACATGTCCCCCGCATCTCCCGCGTAATCTACGCACCTGAACAGGAGTATAGTGTTACATAACTACAGAGAGAGCGTGTGTGTGTGTGTGTGTGTGAGTGAGTGTGTGTGTGTGTGTGTGTGTGTGTGTGTGTGTGTGTGTGTGTGTGTGTGTGTGTGTGTGTGAGTGTGAGTGTGAGTGTGTGTGTGTATGGACTTGTCACTCTGACCTTAAGTGGTTGTGAATGTTTTAAGGCAAGGTGCTTTGCCTGTTGTGATGTTTGATGTTAATCGTGGTAGTGGGCAGATTAGCCGTGCCATGCTTCATTATGGCCTGCCTGGGGCCTCAGCACCCACCTAACCCGAACCGACACTGGCTCAGCCTGTCACGGAGTGCCACCGCCGTCCCATCAGGAGCCGAGAGAGAGGACTTCCTGCTGCCAGCTGTAGACTTCCAGAGCTGATAGAGATTAATTGGTCAACTGCAAACACAAGCTGCGACTCTGAGAGCAAAGGCTTTGTGTGCAGGGTTTAGGAGTGAGTGGGAGGATGAGTCCGTGTTCCACCCTCACCAGCAGCACCGCCTCGCCTCCTGCCTGCAGTCCATGCTCCACTCTTCCTTCTGCTGCTCCTGGACAGGCCGTCACCAGCCCCACATCCACCCTGGAGAGCAGAGACAGCGGCATTATTGGTGAGTGACTGACATTTGGGGTCGGTAAGATTGGTTTTCAAAAGTGGCATTTATTTGATCAAAAATACAGTAAAAACAGTAATATTGTGTGTAATATGTACTATTTGTACTATAGTACATATGTACTATTTAAAAAAACTGTTTTCTATTTTAATATATTTTAAAGTGGACATCGGATGCCTATTTTCCAAAATTTGGTGTGATTCTTTAAGGTCTTCTTGAAATGTCTGTAACATACTTTGGTTAAAATTCCTCAATGGTCGTGTAAAACAACACCCTTTTACCTTGTCAAGAACAGCTCTGTTCACAGTGACCGGAGATATGCTAATACGGGACAGTCCGTCAGCGGCCGTGGGCGGGGCTTGAGCACTATGATGTCATACTGCTCAGAAAATCAAAACCGCTTGATAATTGAGATTGTTTAGGTTTTGTGGGGATTAAAATGGAGTGAATGGATTTTTATCATTGTAGGCTGGTTGCACACTAAGACACATTTATATGCAAACACCATGTTAAAAGTGAATTTTGCATCCAATGTCCCTTTTATAATTAAAGGGGTCATATGATGCTGCTAAAAAGAACATTATTTTGTGTATTTGGTGTAATGAAATGTGTTTATGCAGTTTAAAGTAAAAAAAACACATTATTTTCCACATACTGCACATTATTGTTTCTCCTCTATGCCCCGCCTTTCTGAAACGCGTCGATTTTTACAAAACTCATCGGTCTGAAAAAGCGAGGTGTGCTGTGATTGGCCAGCTATCCAGTGCGTTGTGATTGGTCGAATACCTCAAGCGTGAGACGTTAATGTTACGCCCCTCACATACTGTTGATGCCGTGTCCCGGCTGGAGTGACGAGACAAAAATATTAAAACCCATTACAAACGAGGCATTTGTTGCATCCAGTGAGGACATAATTACTGATTATATTGACTTATACTGTCTTTTTTACGTGTTGCGTTGCGTTGCGTTGCATTGCGCCGCGTAAACATAAAACCCTGTCTGCATTTGTGATCAGAGAAATGACAAACAACAAGTGCTACTCCACACTGCCCAAAACTCGCGTTTGAATCATCAGTGGCAAATGATAAATGAAAACGTACTTACGTGAGTCAGAACTGCCGGCATTTTAGTCTAACGTTACTCTCCCAGGATCAGTAAACAGTCCTCCATAAAATGTGCCGGTGATCAACAGCATGAAGTTGATGTATTCCCTCAGCGGCCAGCACGGATGAGCTCCAGGCATGACGAAGCGGATATCGTCCTCTTTTGGAAGACCAAACAAAGTAGTTTCGCTTTCACAACGAAGCACACAGCGCCTTCACGACATGGCGGCAGCAACAATACTACAGCGAGAATAAAAGTTACGCCATCTTTCTTTGCGTGAACATTTGGGCGGCATTATGCTAATATTTCCACATAGTGATGTAGGTATGTGGGGGCTTGTTAGAGCCGTTTTAGGTAGGCGTGGCTGACTCTGAACTTTTATAAAGAATATCTCTTTGGATTTGAGACTTTAGTCTTTGCAAATTTACAGATCTTCTTTATGCACCAAGAGCTTGGAACACTCCAAAGAGAAAGGAAAAAATGAAATCACATCATATGACCCCTTTAATTAAAATATAATTTATTTCTGTGATCAAAGCTGAATTTCCAGGATCATTACTCCAGTCTTCAGTGTCACATGATTCTTCAGAAATCATTCTGATATGCTCATTTGCTGATCAAGAAACATTTCTAATTATTAACATTGAAAATAGTTAAGCTGTGTGGAAACTTTTTTTTCAGGATTATTTGATGAATAGAAAGTTCAAAAGAACAGCATTTACTTGGTTTTAGTGACATAAAATGTTTTTACTGTCACTTTTGATCAATTTGATGCTTTCTTGTTGGCTAAAATCATTAATTTCTTCCAATATATATTAATTTTTGTGCAAAGTTTATTGACTTAAATGTGTAGCATTTTCTGTTGTGAACATTGTAAGAAATTGTGATCAGTAAGTCATGGTAGAATGTTTTTCCTTTAATTTAACATCAAAATAATTTCCCTTTTTTAGTTATACATGATTTAACTCAGCTTTTAAGTCAGTTTAATATAATTTAAGTTGAAATGACTTGTACAGCCAATTCGATTATACTTTAAATAAGGCAGCAACTGAACTTAAGTTTTGAAGTTGAAGTAGGTGGAACTTTTTTAATAGTGAATGTACATTAGGTTTCCCAGACACTCCATTCTCCTTTCAGAATGTCAGGTTACTCTTTGTCCGTCTTGGTAATTCACCCGGCCAGCTATTTATTTCATAAAAGCAATAGGCTTGCTTTTAAAATCAAAATAAAACCTGAATATTTTCAGACTGGTACAGCTAATACTGACTGGTCTATGTGCTAGAATAAAAATCAGATGCCTTTTCTAAAAGCCGATTGGCTCTTTTGACTGAAAGGCGGGAGTTCTGTTCCCGGAGCTGCCGTATGGTGTGTTTAATTCCTCCTGGGAAGTTCATATTTATGAGTTGGGAAGTCATAATTACAACGTCAAGTGAGTTCAAGTCACTCTGCTCAGAGCAAGATGGTGATATCTTTTCGACAAAAAAATTAAATAAATAAATAAAAATCAGCAAGATTTTTAAACTCTGCTTCTACACAATGATGAATATGTTTTTGCTTTTTATGTTTAATTTTTTTATTTACTTTTTTTTTCTGAGTATGTTAATTGTAAATTGAATATATTCTATCATAATTTGACATTGTATTTTGTGCATGCAACTTAGATTAGTTTTATAGTACATTGAAGATTTAATAAATATATTTAGATTTAGATTTGATAATTTTATTTCAACAAATTTACCATCAATACAGATGCTGCATCCATTGCTTCCAAACATCTTTTCTCACTGACACTCTCCAAACTCGAAAAATCTGGGCTTAAACAAAGTTTTAGTCTCCCTCTCATAATTACGACTTTGTGGTGACGTTTAAGTGTGTTCAACTCGTAAATACGATCTTTCTAACATGACTTGAATGCACCAATATTAAGCCATGTTTTATTCATACCTCCACTTACACTAACTGTGTCCCATTTCACATAATGCTGCACTTTTCAGCTCTGTTTCATAATATTAGTAGTGCAATTCATGTTTTCACACTGAAAAATGAATGCATAGAAATGAGTACGTATAATGCACTTCTTTTCTGAAAACAAAAATCTAATTTCATTGAAACAAACAAGTTGCAGTTCCACTTATGCAACTAGTGGTGTAAAATAAGTCTTTAGATGTAACGATATTTTTAAGGCTCTAAAGCTCTGCGTTTATCACGCATATCTGAAGAGAATGCACTGAAAATCAAGCCAAATGATACTCGCAAAACTGCAAGAGCTTAAATGATGCAATCACTTTTCATACAGTATTCAAACGCAGCTCCACTCAGTCCTCTGGGGAAATTACCCTTTCTAACAGAATTTTCTTGTCACAATTTTGCTCGAAAATTTTGCTTTGAAATTTATTCCAGCTGATGTGTCTTCTCTCCTTCATCCTGCCTCTTTTCCCAGCCACCCTCACCAGTTACTCGGAGCCAATGGACAGGAGCGGGAAACATGGCGACGGCTCTCGAGGCAGCAGCCTGAAGCTCTGGCACTCTCACAGATCCACTCTGGACTCCAGCCTGTATCGCGTGGACGAAAACATGGCCGCCTCCACCTACAGCCTCAACAAGATCCCTGAGACCAGCTCCGCCCACTATTCCTCTCACCCCACCCCCCTCTACCTCATGCCCCGCCCTAACTCAGTGGCAGGTGAGTCTGAAGCCCCGCCTCCTCTGATTTTGGACGTTTGTGTGCCGTTGTTCTCTCCATCTCTTTATCAGTCGGGATTGTGATTTCCTGTTGTGCCACTCGATGCACATAACAATCCCGCTGCTTGGGGAACAGCTTCCTGTGGAAAAAATCCCAAACATCCAACAAAAGATGTTTGGACGTCATGTTGATTACTAAAACATGTCTTACAGGGTTGGGCAACATTCAGAATATAAGAATTGACTGTGTTACAGTTCATGACTTTTGGAGTTTGAATCGAATTGACCACAAACCACAGGATGTTGAATTGGAATGAAAGGAAATGCAACAGTCACAACAATAACAAAATACACAAGAACAGGTGTCAAGGGTTTCATCTTGTAAGTTTGCTTGGGTCAGTGAGAGTTCATTTATTAAATGTAATGAAATACATAAAACTGAATAATATTCATTAAATTGATATTACTAATTTAATGAATATTTCATTATTTAGGTTGCATTTCAAACATTTATTTATAATTTATTATAATTATCTATCTATCTATCTATCTATCTATCTATCTATCTATCTATCTATCTATCTATCTATCTATCTATCTATCTATCTATCTATCTATCTATCTATCTATCTATCTATCTATCTATCTATCATAAATACTATACTAAATAATAAATCTATCTATCTATCTATCTATCTATCAAGTACTAAACAAGTACTAAAACATTTATAATAAATTATAAATAAGTGTTTAAAATACAACCTATAAAATTGTACATATTTACATATTTTATGAATATTTAATTATACATATATATCGTTTTTGTTGTTGCTTTAAATAGGTTGTTATTATATGTTGTATATATAATCACATTTATCATAATTTGTACTGAAAAATTAAATGTTTCTTTAAATGTCATTCTATTTTAAGTCAGCTTCCTTATATTCAAAATTCAATTCAAAAGGAACTTAAAAGGCATTCTTGATTGGGTTCTGAATGGCGCGTGACCCTGGTGTCTCTCCAGTGTTCAGTCGGGTCACACCAGTACAGCTCAGAGCGACCTCACTCTTCAGTGCAATTGCAGCTCAGCTCAATCATACAGCCACTCAGAGCCATCAAACTGCAGTTAGTGACAGAATCAGCCCGGGTCGTGGACTATATACTTTAGCTCTGCACTGCTGGGGCGGCGTTAACAGGAGATAAGAGGCGTCTAATAGCGGCAATAATGATGAGCCTTGTGGAATAGCTCTCCCTGAAGTAAAAGCTAAATCTGTCTGATGATGTTGTTATGTCTCTTATGCAACGCAGCGCCTCTTCATTGCTGGCTGATTGTGTTAGTGTCCAAGTAATCAGCATTGTTGTATTTATGAGAAGACCCGTTTTTAGGAGAGAGAGAGAGAGCAATGAGTTATGGTTATCTCGAAGGAAAGTGACTCTCAAAAGGGCAAGTGATATAAAAGATTATTTCTTAATTGAGAAAACGGCTGGTATTCACGCTTGTGATCAGGAATGATGCAGTGCTCTGAGAAACCATACAAATCTGACAGCGGCATTAATCATATTGCAAATCTGACTGCGGCAAGCGGTGTAGATCGGTCTGGAAAATATACTGTGTGATCTAAAGATGATTTTTTTCTTTGATGAATATCTACAGAATGAAGTTAACACACAAATGACAATTCTGTCATTATTTGCTCATCGTCAGGACCTTTGTTACTTGGAACTTCATAAGGTGAATTTTTGAAGAATATTATGGCTGCTTTTTCCATATAATAAATCAAATGAAGACTAAGGTTGTCAAGCTCCAAAATGACAAAAAGCACATTAAAATTAGCATAAAGGTGATCCATATGACTTGGTGGTACAAGTTATGAAGTCGTACAAGAAGTGGACAAAGTCATTATTCACAGTCATTACTAGGGTTGTCAGCATGACTTATGCAGTATATTCCAAGGCTTATGAATTTATTCGAGAAGTAAACAAAGTCAGTATGCACAATTATTAATGTTCCCCTCCACTGAAAAACAGCTTTATAGGTTGCATTTCAAACATTAATATTAATTATCAATGTGGTATTTCTTACAAATAATTATAGTCTATTGTTTTTGTTGATGACTTATTTTAGTAGCCCTAATGTGTTTAGAAGAGTCTGGAAAGTAAACTGTTGATCTACATGATATAAAGATCTTTTTTTTTCTTATGTAATGCTAAAATATCTACAGTTAAAGTTCAAACCCAAATAACCTGAACTGTTCTGTGCAAAACACTTAAGCTGAATTTGTGAACAACCTGGCTGTTCTTTCCATATAATAAAAACGTCAATGGAAACTGGGGTTGTCAAGCTCCAACATGACCAAAATTCACCTTATAATTACCATAAAGGTGGTCAATATGACTTGGTGGTATGTTTGCAAGACCTCTAAACACCATATGCGAAGTGATTATTCACATTCATCAATATATTCGGAATCTCTGAAAAATGCATTACAAAAGTCATATGAACTTGAAAATGACGTGTCAGCAACACTTGAGACCAAATGCCATTGGTTCTTGAGATTAAACCATATTACAACCACCATATTTGACATGTGAACCACAGCAGAGAAAAACTGTCAGTCAAGTCATCACATGGCTTCATAAGTCTTGGAATGTAGCGCATGAGTCTCCTGGATTATTTTTTAAGATGTTTTCACGTTTTGTAATCAATTTTCGAGCTTGACAGCTCCAGTCACCATTCACTTTCACTATATGGAAAAGAATGGCCAGGATATTCTTAAAAAATTCACCTATTATGTCCATTGAAAAAAAGAAAGCCATCCAGGTTTGTAGTGAGTCGTTTCAGAATCGTGGAAGTTTATTCAGCACATTAGTTTGTCGAGGTCACAGACAGCGCTGATTGTTTATTCAGTGCAGGCAGTGCCGGTCGGGATCGTGGGAGCAGATGTACTCATTAAACATGTATCGTAACGTGTCTTTTACATCAGTCAGTCAGAATCACAATGAGGCAAATCTCCACAGTGGCCGTCTGAATGTCTTTTCAATGCTAAGTCTGTAGTAACGCAGGGCTTAACGTAACCTTATAGTGTCTAAAGTAATACTAATGTGTGTTTGTAGAGTCCCATCGGCCCCGAGAAGAGAGCTGAGCGATGTGAGACTGAGACACCATTAGTAAGAGAAAGCAGAGATTAAAGCCCTGTTTGGATGGAACTAGATTTTCCTGAGGAAATCGCTTTGTGATTTTAGTCCGGTCTGAATCGAACATGTGTTTTTGTCAGATGACCATGGTTAAAAATTGCAGAGCAAATTGCTAACAGTTTGGAAAAGCTGCAGATGCAATGTAATATTTTATCTTTTCATTTATTTGCACTTTTGCTGAATATGCAAAGCTGCACCTTACAACCCATATTTAGACCTATTTTTTTTTCAAAGTTGCTGTCTGCTTGAAACCCATCAAGCATAACAAGAGAAAGAAGTCAATATTAGAGCATTCACCGATTTCTCAAAATGGTTTTGTGATCACATGACTTTCCCAAATCCATTAGATATAAAATCTGCTAAATGTTTTTCCTCAGTAATTGAAAAGTCTTGATTTGCAATACAAATATCTAAACATAACAAAATCGACTTAAGAAAAAAAAAAGTCTTGTTTATTGAAAATGTGTGAACAATAAAAATGATCTTGTCAGTGGGATAAGAAAAATAAACTTTATTCCAAGAGGAAACAAGTTCATTTTTCTTACTCCACTGGCAGGTATTTAGTCTTGTTTTAAGCATAAACTTGGTTAATTTTTCAAACATTTATTTAAGAAATAGTTCACCCTCTGCAGTGAATGGGTGCCGTCAGAATGAGAGTCCAAACAGCTGATAAAAACATCACAATAATCCACAAGTAATCCACACCACTCCAGTCCATCAGTTAACATCTGGAGAAGACAAAAGTTGTTTTAACTTTAAATCATTGCTTCAGTCCTTTATCCATAATGTCTGTATCAGGAGAGAAATATGCACAGATCAAGCAAGCCAAAACAGGCTCTAATCAAATATGTGGGTGGCTTTTGATGTGAGAGACAACAGAGTATGGACTTTTTCTCTGGATGAAGCATTATTATGGATTATGGATTTATATCTTAGCCAGAAGCAACGGTTTGTAGTTAATAACATCTTAATGATGGATTTGTTTCTTACAAACACAGCTTTTCGCTTCACAAGATGTTAACTGATGGACTGGAGTGGTGTGGATTACTTGTGGATTATTCTGATGTTTTTATCAGCTGTTTGGACTCTCATTCTGACGGCACCCATTCACTGCAGAGCATCCATTGCTGAGACACTGATGCAATGCTACATTTCTCCATATCTGTTCCCATGAAGAAACAAACTAATCTACAACTTGGATGGGCTGTGGGCGAGTACATTTTCAGCAAATTTTCATTTGTGGATGAACTATTCCTTTAAGTCATTTTGCTTCTCAAGTAAATGTGTCTTGATTAAATAGTTGTACAAGACAAAAATACTAAGAAAATCATTTTTTGCAGTGTACGGAGATCATCTGTATCAGTACATGTAGTCGTCGCTCGTAACTCAAACATCGCTTAGAAAACAAATCTCGTCCGAAGGAGAGATGTGTAGGAAGAAAAAATGAAAGCCTATAAAAAAAGAACGATGAAAGGGCAACGATATAAATAATGTACTGAGGTAAGTAATAATCTCAGTGAAAAGGAGAGCGAGAAATACTCACTATAAACCCAAATGAATAAAAGGGAGGAAAGAGAAAGAAAAGGGGGATGAAAGAAAAAAAGTGTGATGATAATGGCAAGGTAAGGGATTATGGGTGAGAAGTGGAACGAGAGAGATGGAGATAAGATGAAAGGAGAGGAGAATGCCGGCTGCTGATTGGCTGAGCTCCGGTGGTGGAGGAGATCAAAGCTGCAAGCTTTAACCAGCTCAAACCCCCAGAGCTCACCGTCAGATTCTCATCCGCACAGAGACCGGCGGAGAAAC